TGTTGGGGATGTTGTTGGGATTTCTAGGAATGTTGATGGGAATGTTGTTGGGAATGTTGCTGGGAATGGTAGGGAATGTTGTTGGGAATGTTGTTGGGATTTCTAGGAATGTTGTTGGGATTTCTAGGAATGTTTCTGGGAATGTTGTTGGGAATGTTGCTGGGAATGGTAGGGAATGTTGTTGGGAATGTTGTTGGGATTTCTAGGAATGTTGTTGGGATTTCTAGGAATGTTTCTGGGAATGTTGTTGGGAATGTTGCTGGGAATGGTAGGGAATGTTGGTGGGAATGTTGTTGGGATTTCTAGGAATGTTGTTGGGATTTCTAGGAATGTTGTTGGGAATGTTGTTGGGATTTCTAGGAATGTTGTTGGGAATGTTATTGGGATTTCTAGGAATGTTGTTGGGATTTCTAGGAATGTTGTTGGGAATGTTATTGGGATTTCTAGGAATGTTGTTGGGAATGTTGTTGGGATTTCTAGGAATGTTGTTGGGAATGGTGAGGAATGTTGGGAATGTTGCTAGGAATGTTTGGATGTTGGGAATGGTGGCTCCCGTAACCAAACGCGATAGCGCCCACTCTCTATCCACTGCTGGATGAACGACTCACATTCCGTGTGAGAGTGTGTGAGTGGTGAGTGAGTGGTGAGTGAGTGAGTGTGAGAGTGTGTGAGTGAGTGTGTGTGAATGAGTGTGTGTGTGAGTGTGTGTGAGTGTGTGAGTGAGTGGGTGGGTGAGTGAGTGAGTGAATGAGTGAGTGGGTGAGTGTGAGTGCGAGTGTGTGTGAGAGTGTGTGTGAGTGTGAGAGTGTGAGTGTGTGTGAGAGTGTGTGTGAGTGAGAGTGTGTGAGTGTGTGTGAGTGAGTGTGAACACTACTGGTCAGTTGGAAGCAGTCCGCCCTCCAACGACAACGGAGGGCGGAGGAGCGACGCTCACAACAACGAGCGGAGCGCCAGGTGGCTAAAGCACAGCAGGTTGGCACAGTAGGGGGCACAGGTGGTCCATCAGCCAGTCATCTCAGTCAGTCGACCCGTGGCACCTGGGTCTGCCCCGTGACCTCCTGCCAGCGGGCGTTCGACACTTCACGTGGCCTCAAGGTGCACATGGCCTGGCACAAGCATCGTGGTGATGTCACCGCCACTTAGTGGCGAATGGCGGTTGTTGTTGTTGTTGTGTGTTGTTATTGTTGTGTCTGTGTGTGTATCTCTGTGTGTGTCTGTGTGTGTATCTCTGTGTATCTCTGTGTGTGTCTGTGAACTAACAGCAAAAACAACCCCCTACCTCCTCGTGGTGCCGGATGGGCAACGCGGTGGTGGGCAGTGCCGTGGGGGGAGGGCCAATTCCGATTGGCCATTACCCTCAGGGCGTTTGTCACCACCACAGCGGCCAAACGGGGGCTCTGGACGGGTGCGAGGGGCTGGTAACCCCTCCACCTTCAATTAAATACCACAAAACCACGACCACAAAATATATAATTAATAAGCTTGTGCCGGAGGCCCCGGGGGGACAGGCGTCTATGACGTCTCCTGGCCAAACCCCATTTGGCGGAGCCAGGAGACTGAATCCTTACCCTCGGGGCTCCTCCAGAAACAACGAAAAGCCACTACGTGTGGCCACGTGGAATGTTCGAACGCTCACTGTGGAGGAGAGGCTGCCACTCCTCTGTCGGGAGCTGGACCGGTACCGCCTGGATCTCTGTGCCATTCAGGAGGTCCGGTGGACCGGCTCTGGCTCATGCCACCATGAGGGGTGGACAGTCCTCTACTCGGAGCAGGAGACTGCCAAACAACAGGGAGTGACGGTGAGGTGTGGGAAGCTGTAAGCCCCAGGCTACTTTGGGCTCGCCTTCCCATCAACCGGAAGCGAGGAGTGGTGGTCGTGGTTACTTATGCCCCCACCGAAGAAGAACATCCGTAGAGGGATGCAGGCAATGCCCGAGTTGGTCATGATGCTGGCACCTAGTCTGGAGTGATTGGAAGGCATGGGCTAGATCAGCTCAATAACAACGGCAGGAGGCTGCTAGATTTTTGTGCAGCCCATGGGCTTGTAATTACCAACACGCTGTTCCGGTATCGGCGCATCCACACAACATCATGGATGCATGCCGGGTCCAAGCAAGAACATCTGCTGGACTACATAGTGACGGACCAGCGAATGTGAGCCCATGTCCTTGACACCAGGACCTACCGTGGAGCTGATCTGCCCTCTGACCATCGACTTGTCATCTGTAAGATGCGCCTGCTATTCTTCCACTCCGGTGGTGGGTGTACACCCAGGACCCCATTCAAACCTAAGGTGGCCTGGTCTCAATTAGCTGATGAAAGTTGCAAGCGATAACTTAATCATCGCTTGCAGCTGGGGTTGGCACCGTCTCCCACTCCTCCTGATGTCGAGGGTAAATCGGCGAGGTTTAGGATTGTGACTCAGGCAGCTGCAATGGCTGCTTAAGGTATGCGGTCCAGACCTCCCCAGAGACCCTGGCTGACAGAGGAGGTGTTCAGGATGGCTGAGAAAAAGCGACAGGCCCACTCTAATCATCTACAGCATCCCACGAATTAGGAGGCTTACCGCAGCCTTCGCTCAGAGGTTCGGAGAGCCGTGAGGCATTGCAAGAATGGGTGGTGGTCGCAGGTTGCTGAGGAGATGGAGTCTGCTTCAATGGCCCGCAATCACAAATCACTATTTAACTCCATCAAAAAAGTAACATGCAGCACCACACCTATTACCATCATTAGGGAAAAAAACGGTGATCCAATCTCCGACCCCCAGAAACAGGTTTGCAGATTTGCTAAACATTTCTGTGAAGTCCTGGGGGATGACCCTGCTGAGGCTGCGGTGCATCAAACATTGAAAGAAGTCACCCCCTGTGAGTGGCTGGCTGAGGTGCCATCTGTTGAGGAAGTACTGAAGGCGATCCGGAGTCTGAGACCAGGAAAGGAGCGGGCAGAGATGATCTCCCTAGCGAAATGCTGAGGGAGGGTGGCGTTTGTGCACAGACTGCCCTATATGACATCATAACAGTCTGGACCACTGGACGGGTTCCCCAGGATTGGAAGGATGCCCTGGTGGTCCCCCTCTTTAAGAAGGGGGACCGCACAGACTGTAACAACTACAGGGGCATCTCACTCCTCAGTGTGCCGGGAAAGGTCCTGGCAAGGATTATTCAACATCGACTTGCCAGGCACGCTGAGGAGAGGCTTGCGGAGCCCCAATGCGGTTTCAGGAAAGGCCGGTCCTCCACAGATGCCATATTTTCTGTCCGTTTGCTACAGCAGAGGTGTAGGGAATTCCAACAAGACCTACATCTCTGCTTTATTGACCTGGTCAAGGCCTGTTATACCATCAGTAGGCCTGGGCTCTGGGTTGTTCTTCGTGCTTTCGGAGTCCCTGACCCTCTGCTCACAATCATTAAGGACCTTCATGATGGTGAGCAGGCCCGGGTAAAACTACGTGGCCGAGAGTCAGAGCCATTCCCTGTTCACCTTGGGGTGCGACAGGGATGTCCTCTGGCTCCCACATTATTTAACATATTTTTTGACCGCGTAGTTCGTGAAGCCTTCGATGGCTATACCAGAGGAATTTCCGTCTGGTATAGCCAATGGGAGGCTGATCGATGCCCGGGTGCGGTCAAGGGATGGCTCCCTATTGGTCAACCACGTTATGTAAGCCGATGATCTGGTAATTGCGGCTCACTCAGAGGAGGAGTTGGAGACGCTGCTGCTGAGACTGGAGCGGGCCACTAAGAGATGGGGCCTTACCATCAGCCCCACCAAAACGAAGCACCTGCCTGGGTATTTTGTACCATCGGACACTCCACCCCCACAACTCCTAATCGGTGATGGGGCAGTTGTGGAGAGAGTGGAGAGTTTTCCTCCATACCTGGGCAGTGTGCTCATGACCGCCTCCGGTTTGACAGTACGAAGCTTCAGGTCTTCTCGGCCACGGTCATTCCCTCACTTCTCTACGCTTCCAAAACGTGGACCACCTTAATGGAGCATCTTCGCCGGTTAGAAACATTTAGGCTGGCCTGCCTCCGATCCATCCTTGGTTTAACCAGACTGGATTGTGTGAGGAACTCACAAATCCTTGAAAGGTCTGGGCAAGGTCCCATCGGTGAGCTCCTCCGGCAGGCAAGGCTGCGTTGGCTGGGTCATGTAGCCCGATGCCCAGTCACCACACGCCGAAACAGCTTTGGTTCGGCCGGATAGAGAGGGCTAAACAGGCGCAGCACGGCCTAGAGAAGAGATGGAGTGATGTGGTACAGGAGGATGTGGAGCTGAGTGGACTTGCCAATGACTGGTACCAGCTCACAACAACGAGCGGAGCGCCGGGTGGCTAAAGCACAGCAGGTTGGCACAGTAGGGGGCACAGGTGGTGCATCGGCCAGTCGACCCGTGGCACCTGCTGGGCCTGCCCCGTGACCTCCTGCAAGCGGGCGTTCGACTCTTCACGTGGTCTCAAGGTGCACATGGCCTGGCACAAGCGTCGTGGTGACGTCACCGCCACTTAGTGGGGAATGGCGGTTGTTGTGAGTTAATAGCACTCGCCCCAACAGTCTGCGATAGGCTAACCGGGGAATCTTTGTGTGTGTGTGAGAGTTTATACATCTGCGTGTGTGCGTGGGCAAACTGTGTGTGTAATTGTGAAGCTACCCCCCCCCCCCTCTCCCCATGTCTCTCCCTTTCTCCCCCCCTCTCCTCTCTCTCCCCATGTCTCTCTCCCCCTCTCCCCTCTCTCCCAATGTCTCTCCCTTTCTCTCCCCCTCTCCTCTCTCTCCCCATATCTCTCTCCTCCTCTCCCCTCTCTCCCTTTCTCCCCCTCTCCTCTCTCTCCCCATATCTCTCTCCCCCTCTCCCCCCTCTCCCCACGTCTCTCCCCCCTCTCCCCTCTCTCCCCATGTCTCTCCCCTCTCTCCCAATGTCTCTCCCCCCCTCTCCCCATGTCTCTCCCTTTCTCCCCCCCCACTCCCCACGTCTCCCCCCTCTCCCCACTCTCCCCCAACCCTCAGTACTCCTCCTCCTCCTCTGCGTATTCATCCTCTTGCTGGGCTGCCACAAACCCACCACCGACACCACCGACACCACCGCCACCACCGCCACCGCCGCCACCACGATTACCATTAAACACCACACCGCCACCGCCGCCGCCACCGGCGGCGGTGGGCGGGACGGGCGGCGGCGGAGCGCAGTATTTGAAGTCGCAGATCTGCCGACCGAGTCCGTAGGCGGTCATGCCGGTCTGCGTGGCGACCTGGTTGGTTCCCATCTGGAGCGAGATCGTGGACGAGTCGTACGAGCGCTCCACGCCGAGGCGGGAGTCGTACACGTGGCGGCGGGTGCCAGGGCACGTCATGCCGGCCTGCGTGGGTGGGTGGGTGGGTGGCACAAGGGGAGAGAGAGTTGGTGGTGGTGGTGGTGGTGGTGGAGAGATGGTGGAGCTGATGGAGGAGATGGAGAGAGTTGGTGGTGGTGGTGGTGGAGAGATGGTGGAGCTGATGGAGGAGATGGAGAGAGTTGGTGGTGGTGGAGGTGGTGGTGGAGAGATGGTGGAGCTGATGGAGGAGATGGAGAGAGTTGGTGGTGGTGGTGGTGGAGAGATGGTGGAGCTGATGGAGGAGATGGAGAGAGTTGGTGGAGGAGGTGGTGGTGGTGGAGAGATAGTGGAGTTGATGGAGGGACGTAGTGGAGAAGGTTGAGATGATGGAGTTGATTGAGGAGGTGGAGGAGGTAGATGAGGAGAGAGACAGAGGTGGTGGTGGAGGATGACTAGAAGATGGTGAAGCTGGTGGAGGAAGAGGAGCAAGATGGTGAACTGAGTTGTAGGAGCTCTCCACCCCGTGGCAACGGGTGCCAGGGCACGTCATACCAGCCTGGGTGGGTGGTGGGGGGCACACGGGGAGAGAGAGTTGGTGGTGGTGGTGGTGGAGAGATGACGGAGTTGATGGAGGAGGTGTAGAGAGTTGGTGGTGGTGGTGGTGGTGGAGAGATGTTGGAGCTGATGGAGGGACGTAGTGGAGAAGGTTGAGATGATGGAGTTGATTGAGGAGGTGGAGAGAGATGTTGGAGTTGATGGAGGGACGTAGTGGAGATGGTTGAGATGATGGAGTTGATTGAGGAGGTGGAGAGAGATGTTGGAGTTGATGGAGGGACGTAGTGGAGATGGTTGAGATGATGGAGTTGATTGAGGTGTAGAGAGATGTTGGAGTTGATGGAGCGACGGAGTGGAGATGGTTGAGATGATGAAGTTGATTCAGGAGGTGGAGAGAGATGGTGGAGTTGATGGAGGGACGGAGTGGAGATGGTTGAGATGGTGGAGTGGATTGAGGTGTAGAGAGATGTTGGAGTTGATGGAGCGACGGAGTGGAGATGGTTGAGATGATGGAGTTGATTGAGGAGGTGGAGAGAGATGGTGGAGTTGATGGAGCGACGGAGTGGAGATGGTTGAGATGATGGAGTTGATTAAGGAGGTGGAGAGAGATGTTGGAGTTGATGGAGGGACGTAGTGGAGATGGTTGAGATGGTGGAGTGGATTGAGGTGTAGAGAGATGTTGGAGTTGATGGAGCGACGTAGTGGAGATGGTTGAGATGGTGGAGTTGATTGAGGAGGTGGAGAGAGATGTTGGAGTTGATGGAGGGACGTAGTGGAGATGGTTGAGATGATGGAGTTGATTGAGGAGGTGGAGAGAGATGGTGGAGTTGATGGAGCGAAGGAGTGGAGATGGTTGAGATGATGGAGTTGATTGAGGAGGTGGAGAGAGATGGTGGAGTTGATGGAGCGACGGAGTGGAGATGGTTGAGACGATGGAGTTGATTGAGGAGGTGGAGAGAGATGGTGGAGTTTGATGGAGGGACGGAGTGGAGATGGTTGAGATGATAGAGTTGATTGAGGAGGTGGAGAGAGATGTTGGAGTTGATGGAGCGACGGAGTGGAGATGGTTGAGATGATGGACTTGATTGAGGAGGTGGAGAGACATGGTGGAGTTGATGGAGGGACGTAGTGGAGATGGTTGAGATGATGGAGTTGATTGAGGAGGTGGAGAGAGATGGTGTAGTTGATGGAGCGAAGTAGTGGAGATGGTTGAGATGATGGAGCTGATTGAGGAGGTGGAGAGAGATGGTGGAGTTGATGGAGCGACGGAGTGGAGATGGTTGAGATGATGGAGTTGATTGAGGAGGTGGAGAGAGATGGTGGAGCTGGAGGGACGGAGTGGAGATGGTTGAGATGATGGAGCTGATTGAGGAGGTGGACAGAAATGGTGGAGTTGATGGAGGGAAGGAGTGGAGATGGTTGAGATGATGGAGCTGATTGAGGAGGTGGAGAGAGATGGTGGAGTTGATGGAGCGAGGTAGTGGAGATGGTTGAGATGATGGAGTTGATTGAGGAGGTGGAGAGAGATGTTGGAGTTGATGGAGGGACGGAGTGGAGATGGTTGAGATGGTGGAGTTGATTGAGGAGGTGGAGAGAGATGGTGGAGTTGATGGAGGGACGGAGTGGAGATGGTTGAGATGATGGAGTTGATTGAGGAGGTGGAGAGAGATGGTGGAGTTGATGGAGCGACGGAGTGGAGATGGTTGAGATGGTGGAGTTGATTGAAGAGGTGGAGAGAGATGTTGGAGTTGATGGAGAGACGGAGTGTAGATGGTTGAGATTATGGAGTTGATTGAGGAGGTGGAGAGAGATGGTGGAGTTGATGGAGCGACGGAGTGGAGATGGTTGAGATGATGGAGTTGATTGAGGAGGTGGAGAGAGATGGTGGAGTTGATGGAGTGGAGATGGTTGAGATGATGGAGTTGATTGAGGAGGTGGAAAGAGATGGTGGAGTTGATGGAGCGACGTAGTGGAGATTGTTGAGATTATGGAGTTGATTGAGGATGTGGAGAGAGATGGTGGAGTTGATGGAGCGACGGAGTGGAGATGGTTGAGATGGTGGAGTTGATTGAGAAGGTGGAGAGAGATGGTGGATTTGATGGAGCGACGGAGTGGAGATGGTTGAGATGGTGGAGTTGATTGAGGAGGTGGAGAGAGATGGTGGAGTTGATGGAGCGATGGAGTGGAGATGCTTGAGATGATGGAGCTGATTGAGGAGGTGGAGAGAGATGGTGGAGTTGATGGAGGGACGTAGTGGAGATGGTTGAGATGATGGAGTTGATTGAGGATGTGGAGAGAGATGTTGGAGTTGATGGAGGGACGAAGTGGAGATGGTTGAGATGGTGGAGTGGATTGAGGTGGAGAGAGATGTTGGAGTTGATGGAAGGACGGAGTGGAGATGGTTGAGATGGTGGAGTTGATTAAGGAGGTGAAGAGAGATGGTGGAGTTGATGGAGGGACGGAGTGGAGATGGTTGAGATGATGGAGTTGATTGAGGAGATGGAGAGAGATGTTGGAGTTGATGGATGGACGTAGTGGAGATGGTTGAGATGGTGGAGTTGATTGAGGAGGTGGAGAGAGATGGTGGAGTTGATGGAGCGACGTAGTGGAGATGGTTGAGATTATGGAGTTGATTGAGGAGATGGAGAGAGATGTTGGAGTTGATGGAGGGACGTAGTGGAGATGGTTGAGATGGTGGAGTTGATTGAGGAGATGGAGAGAGATGTTGGAGTTGATGGAGGGACGTAGTGGAGATGGTTGAGATGGTGGAGTTGATTGAGGAGGTGGAGAGAGATGGTGGAGTTGATCGAGCGACGGACTGGAGATGGTTGAGATGGTGGAGTTGATTGAGGAGGTGGAGAGAGATGGTGGATTTGATGGAGCGACAGAGTGGAGATGGTTGAGATGGTGGAGTTGATTGAGGAGGTGGAGAGAGATGGTGGATTTGATGGAGCGACGGAGTGGAGATGGTTGAGATGATGGAGCTGATTGAGGAGGTGGAGAGAGATGGTGGAGTTGATGGAGGGACGTAGTGGAGATGGTTGAGATGATGGAGTTGATTGAGGATGTGGAGAGAGATGTTGGAGTTGATGGAGTGACAAAGTGGAGATGGTTGAGATGGTGGAGTGGATTGAGGTGGAGAGAGATGTTGGAGTTGATGGAAGGACGGAGTGGAGATGGTTGAGATGGTGGAGTTGATTAAGGAGGTGGAGAGAGATGGTGGAGTTGATGGAGGGACGGAGTGGAGATGGTTGAGATGATGGAGTTGATTGAGGAGATGGAGAGAGATGTTGGAGTTGATGGAGGGACGTAGTGGAGATGATTGAGATGGTGGAGTTGATTGAGGAGGTGGAGAGATATGGTGGAGTTGATGGAGCGACGTAGTGGAGATGGTTGAGATGATGGAGTTGATTGAGGAGATGGAGAGAGATGTTGGAGTTGATGGAGGGACGTAGTGGAGATGGTTGAGATGGTGGAGTTGATTGAGGAGGTGGAGAGAGATGGTGGAGTTGATGGAGCGACGGACTGGACATGGTTGAGATGGTGGAGTTGATTGAGGAGGTGGAGAGAGATGGTGGAGTTGATGGAGGGACGGAGTGGAGATGGTTGAGATTATGGAGTTGATTGAGGTGGAGAGAGATGTTGGAGTTGATGGAGGGACGAAGTGGAGATGGTTGAGATTATGGAGTTGATTGAGGAGGTGGAGAGAGATGGTGGAGTTGATGGAGCGACGGAGTGGAGATTGTTGAGATGATGGAGTTGATTGAGGAGATGGAGAGAGATGGTGGAGTTGATGGAGGGATGGAGTGGAGATGGTTGAGATGATGGAGTTGATTGAGGAGGTGGAGAGAGATGGTGGAGTTGATGGAGCGACGGAGTGGAGATGGTTGAGATGGTGGAGTTGATTGAGGAGGTGGAGAGAGATGTTGGAGTTGATGGAGGGACGGAGTGGAGATGGTTGAGATGATGGACCTGATTGAGGAGGTGGAGAGAGATGGTGGAGTTGATGGAGCGACGTAGTGGAGATGGTTGAGATGATGGAGTTGATTGAGGTGAAGAGAGATGGTGGAGTTGATGGAGGGACAGAGTGGAGATGGTTGAGATGGTAGAGTTGATTGAGGAGGTGGAGAGAGATGGTGGAGTTGATGGAGCGACGTAGTGAAGATGGTTGAGATGGTGGAGTTGATTGAGGAGGTGGAGAGAGATGTTGGAGTTGATGGAGGGACGTAGTGGAGATGGTTGAGATGGTGGAGTTGATTGAGGAAGTGGAGAGAGATGGTGGAGTTGATGGAGCGACGGACTGGAGATGGTTGAGATGATGGAGTTGATTCAGGAGGTGGAGAGAGATGGTGGAGTTGATGGAGGGACGTAGTGGAGATGGTTGAGATGGTGGAGTGGATTGAGGTGTAGAGAGATGTTGGAGTTGATGGAGCGACGGTGTGGAGATGGTTGAGATGGTGGAGTTGATTGAGGAGGTGGAGAGAGATGGTGGAGTTGATGGAGCGACGGAGTGGAGATGGTTGAGATGGCGGAGTTGATTGAGGTGGAGAGAGATGTTGGAGTTGATGGAGCGACGGAGCGGAGATGGTTGAGATGATGGAGCTGATTGAGGAGGTGGAGAGAGATGGTGGAGTTGATGGAGCGACGTAGTGGAGATGGTTGAGATGCTGGAGTTGATTGAGGAGGTGGAGAGAGATGTTGGAGTTGATGGAGGGACGGAGTGGAAATGGTTTGAATGGTGGAGTTGATTGAGGAGGTGGAGGAGGTGGATGCAGATAAAGATGGTGGAGGATGACTAGAAGACGGTGGAGCTGATGGAGGAATAGGAGCTGGAGGAGGTGGAGTAGGAGGATGAAGAGCAAGATGGTGGACGAGTCGTAGGAGCGCTCCACCCCGTGGTGGCGGGTGCCAGGGCAAGTCGTGGCGGCCGTCAGTGGGTAGCACACGGGGAGAGAGAGTTGGTGGTGGTGGTGGAGAGATGGTGGATGGAGGAGGTGGTGGAGTTGATGGAGGATGTGGAGAGATGGTGGAGTTGATGGAGGTGGAGACAGTTGGTGGTGGTGGTGGAGAGATGGTGGAGTTGATGGAGGAGGTGGAGAGAGTTGGTGGAGGAGGTAGTGATGGAAGTGGTAGAGAGATGGTGGAGTTGATGGAGCGACGGAGTGGAGATTGTTGAGATGATGGAGTTGATTGAGGAGGTGGAGAGAGATGGTGGAGTTGATGGTGGGACGGAGTGGAGATGGTTGAGATGATGGAGTTGATTGAGGAGGTGGAGAGAGATGGTGGAGTTGATGGAGCGACGGAGTGGAGATGGTTGAGATGGTGGAGTTAATTGAGGAGGTGGAGAGAGATGGTGGAGTTGATGGAGCGATGGAGTGGAGATGCTTGAGATTATGGAGTTGATTGAGGAGGTGGAGAGAGATGGTGGAGTTGATGGAGCGACGGAGTGGAGATGGTTGAGATGGCGGAGTTGATTGAGGTGGAGAGAGATGTTGGAGTTGATGGAGCGACGGAGCGGAGATGGTTGAGATGATGGAGCTGATTGAGGAGGTGGAGAGAGATGGTGGAGTTGATGGAGCGACGTAGTGGAGATGGTTGAGATGGTGGAGTTGATTGAGGAGGTGGAGAGAGATGGTGGAGTTGATGGAGGGACGGAGTGGAGATGGTTGAGATTATGGAGTTGATTGAGGAGGTGGAGAGAGATGTTGGAGTTGATGGAGGGACGGAGTGGAGATGGTTGAGATTATGGAGTTGATTGAGGAGGTGGAGAGAGATGATGGAGTTGATGGAGCGACGGAGTGGAGATTGTTGAGATGATGGAGTTGATTGAGGAGGTGGAGAGAGATGGTGGAGTTGATGGAGGGACGGAGTGGAGATGGTTGAGATGGTGGAGCTGATTGAGGAGGTGGAGAGAGATGTTGGAGTTGTTGGAGGGACGTAGTGGAGATGGTTGAGATGGTGGAGTTGATTGAGGAGGTGGAGAGAGATGGTGGAGTTGATGGAGGGACGTAGTGGAGATGGTTGAGATGGTGGAGTTGATTGAGGTGTAGAGAGATGTTGGAGTTGATGGAGCGACGGAGCGGAGATGGTTGAGATGATGGAGCTGATTGAGGAGGTGGAGAGAGATGGTGGAGTTGATGGAGCGACGTAGTGGAGATGGTTGAGATGCTGGAGTTGATTGAGGAGGTGGAGAAATGTTGGAGTTGATGGAGGGACGGAGCGGAGATGGTTGAGATGGTGGAGTTGATTAAGGAGGTGGAGAGAGATGTTGGAGTTGATGGAGGGACGGAGTGGAAATGGTTTGAATGGTGGAGTTGATTGAGGTGGAGGAGGTGGATGCAGATAAAGATGGTGGTGGTGGAGGATGACTAGAAGACGGTGGAGCTGATGGAGGAATAGGAGCTGGAGGAGGTGGAGTAGGAGGATGAGGAGCAAGATGGTGGACGAGTCGTAGGAGCGCTCCACCCCGTGGTGGCGGGTGCCAGGGCAAGTCGTGGCAGCCGGCAGTGGGTGGCACACGGGAAGAGAGAGTTGGTGGTGGTGGTGGTGGAGAGATGGTGGATGGAGGAGGTGGTGGAGTTGATGGAGGAGGTGGAGAGATGGTGGAGTTGATGGAGGTGGAGACAGTTGGTGGTGGTGGTGGAGAGATGGTGGAGTTGATGGAGGAGGTGGAGAGAGTTGGTGGAGGAGGTGGTGGTGATGGAGATGGTGGATGGAGGAGGTGGTGGAGTTGATGGAGGAGGTGGAGAGATGGTGGAGTTGATGGAGGAGGTGGATACAGTTGGTGGTGGTGGTGGTGGAGAGATGGTGGAGTTGATGGAGGTGGAGAGAGTTGGTGGAGGAGGTGGTGATGGAGTTGGTGGAGAGATGGTGGATGGAGGAGGTGGAGAGAGTTGGTGGAGGAGGTGGTGGTGGAGAGATGGTGGAGTTTATTGAGGAGGTGGAGAGAATTGGTGGAGATGGAGGTGGTGGTGGTGGAGAGATGGTGGACTTGATGGAGGAGGTGGAGAGAGATGGTGGTGGTGGTGATGGAGGTGGTGGTGGTGAGATGGTGGAGTTGATGGAGGAGGTCGAGAGAGTTGGTGGAGGAGGTAGTGATGGAAGTGGTGGATAGATGGTAGAGTTGATGGAGGAGGTGGATAGAGTTGGTGGAGGAGGTGGTGGTGATATAGATGGTGGTGGAGAGATGGTGGAGTTGATGGAGGAGGTGGAGAGATGGTGGAGTTGATGGAGGAGGTGGAGAGAGTTGGTGGAGGTGGTGATGGAGCTGGTGGTGGTGGAGAGATGGTGGAGTTGATGGAGAAGGTGCAGAGAGTTGGTGGAGGAGGTGGTGGTGGAGAGATGGTGGTGGTGGTGGAGAGATAGTGGAGTTGATTGAGGAGGAGGTGGATGAGAAGAGAGATGGAGGTGGTGGTGGATGACTAGAAGACGGTGGAGCTGATGGAGGAAGAGGCAGTGGTGTAGGAGTAGGTGAATGAGGAGCGAGATGGTGGAGTTGATGGAGGAGGTGGAGAGAGTTGTTGGAGGAGGTGGTGATGGAGCTGGTGGTGGTAGTGGTGGACAGATGGTGGAGTTGATTGAGGAGGAGGTGGATGAGAAGAGAGATGGAGGTGGTGGTTGTGGTGGTGGATGACTAGAAGACGGTGGAGCTGATGGAGGAAGAGGCAGTGGTGTAGGAGTAGGTGAATGAGGAGCGAGATGGTGGAGTTGATGGAGGTGGAGAGAGTTGGTGGAGGAGGTGGTGATGGAGCTGGTGGTGGTAGTGGTGGACAGATGGTGGAGTTGATTGAGGAGGAGGTGGATGAGAAGAGAGATGGAGGTGGTGGTGGTGGATGACTAGAAGACGGTGGAGCTGATGGAGGAAGAGGCAGTGGTGTAGGAGTAGGTGAATGAGGAGCGAGATGGTGGAGTGAGTCGAAGGAGGGCTCCACCCCAGGCGGGCACCGTACACACGGTGGGTGGCACACGGTGGGTGGCACACGGTGGGTGGCACACGGTGGGTGGCACACGGTGGGTGGCACACGGTGGGTGGCACACGGTGGGTGGGTGACACACGGGGACAGAGAGTTGGTGGAGCTTACCTAGCTGCTACGACTGGCTGGGTACCTGGCTGGGTCCCTGGCTGGGTACGTGCCTGGTTCTAGCGGCTGGGGTTACCTGGCTGGGAACCTGGCTGGTGCTAGTGACCGGGTACCTGGCTGGGTACGTGGCTGGGTACGTGGCTGGTTCTAGCGGCTGGGGTTACCTGGCTGGGTACCTGGCTGTGTACCTGGCTGGTTCTAGTGACCGGGTACCTGGCTGGGTACGTGGCTGGTTCTAGCGGCTGGGGTTACCTGGCTGGGCACCTGGCTGGTGCTAGTGACCGGGTACCTGGCTGGGTACGTGGCTGGGTACCTGGCTGGGTACCTGGCTGGGTACGTGGCTGGTTCTAGCGGCTGGGGGTACCTGGCTGGTGCTAGTGACTGGGTACCTGTCTGGGTACGTGGCTGGTTCTAGCGGCTGGGGGTACCTGGCTGGCCAGCTTGTTGGTCCCCATCTGCAGGGAGATGGAGTTGTCCTGGTCGGGCCTCCACCGATCCTCCTGCGAAGGTCCCCGCGGGTCGTAGAGGTGGCGACGCGTCCCGTAGGCCGTCATCCCAGCCTGGCTTGCACACTTGTTGGTGCCCATCTGTGTGTGGGGGGGGGGGGGTGGGGTGGGTGGGGGAAAGGGTGGGTGGGGTGGGTGGGGGAAAGGGTGGGAAGGTGAGTTGGTGGGTGGGTGAGTGGGTGGGTGAGTGGGTGGGTGGGTGAGTAAGTGGGTGGGTGAGTTGAGTGGGTGGGTGAGTGGGTGGGTGTGTGGGTGAGTGGGGGGGTGGGTGGGTGAGTGGGGGGGTGGGTGAGTGGGCGCGTGAGTGGGTGCGTGAGTGGGGGGATGGGTGGGTGAGTGGGGGGAGTGGGTGGGGGAAAGGGTGGGAAGGTGAGTTGGTGGGTGGGTGAGTGGGTGGGTAGGTGAGTTGGTGGGTGGGTTAGTGGGTGGGTGAGTGGGTGGGTGAGTGGGTGAGTGGGGGGGTGGGTATGTGGGTGGGTGAGTGGGTGGGTAAGTGAGTAAGTGGGTGGGTGAGTTGAGTGGGTGGGTGAGTGGGTGGGTGGGTGAGTGGGGGGATGGGTGAGTGGGGGGGTGGGTGGGTGGGTGCGTGAGTGGGTGGGTGGGTGAGTGGGGGGATGGGTGGGTGAGTGGGGGGGTGGGTGGGTGAGTGGGTGGGTGAGTGGGGGGGTGGGTGGGTGAGTGGGGGGGTGGGTGAGTGGGCGCGTGAGTGGGTGGGTGAGTGGGGGGGTGGGTGGGTGAGTGGGTGCGTGAGTGGGGGGATGGGTGGGTGAGTGGGGGGGTGGGTGAGTGGGGGGGGTGGGTGAGTAGGTGGGTGGGTGAGTGGGTGGGTGGGTGAGTGGGGGGATGGGTGGGTGAGTGGGGGGGTGGGTGAGTAGGTGGGTGAGTGGGTGAGTGGGTGGGTGAGTGGGTGGGTGGGTGAGTGGGTGGGTAAGTGGGTGAGTGGGTGGGTGAGTGGGTGAGTGGGTGGGTGAGTGGGGGGATGGGTGGGTGGGTGAGTGGGTGCGTGAGTGGGTGGGTGAGTGGGTGGGTGAGTGGGTGAGTGGGTGGGTGAGTGGGTGGGTGGGTGAGTGGGGGGATGAGTGAGTGGGGGGGTGGGTGGGTGCGTGAGTGGGTGGGTGAGTGGGGGGATGGGTGGGTGAGTGGGGGGGTGAGTGGGGGGGGTGGGTGAGTGGGTGCGTGAGTGGGTGCGTGAGTGGGTGGGTGAGTGGGGGGGGTGGGTGGGTGAGTGGGTGGGTGAGTGGGGGGATGGGTGGGTGAGTGGGGGGGTGGGTGAGTAGGTGGGTGGGTGAGTAGGTGGGTGGGTGAGTGGGTGGGTGAGTGGGTGTGTGAGTGGGTGCGTGAGTGGGTGGGTGAGTGGGTGGGTGTGTGGTTCACATCATCGTCATCCACATCAGCATCAACATCAATATCATCTCCGTGTCTCTCCCCGTGTCTCTCCCCGTGTCCCTCCCCATCTCTCCCCGTGTCTCTCCCCGTGTCTCTCCCCGTGTCTCCCCGTGTCTCTCCCCATCTCTCCCCGTGTCTCTCCCCGTGTCTCTCCCCGTGTCTCTCCCCATCTCTCCCCGTGTCTCTCCCCGTGTCTCCCCGTGTCTCTCCCCGTGTCTCTCCCCGTGTCTCTCCCCATCTCTCCCCGTGTCTCTCCCCGTGTCTCTCCCCGTGTCTCCCCGTGTCTCTCCCCATCTCTCCCCGTGTCTCTCCCCGTGTCTCTCCCCATCTCTCCCCGTGTCTCTCCCCGTGTCTCCCCGTGTCTCTCCCCGTGTCTCCCCGTGTCTCTCCCCATCTCTCCCCGTGTCTCTCCCCGTGTCTCCCCGTGTCTCTCCCCATCTCTCCCCGTGTCTCTCCCCATCTCTCCCCGTGCCTCTCCCCGTGTCTCTCCCCGTGTCTCCCCGTGTCTCTCCCCATCTCTCCCCGTGTCTCTCCCCGTGTCTCCCCGTGTCTCTCCCCATCTCTCCCCATCTCTCCCCGTGCCTCTCCCCGTGTCTCTCCCCGTGTCTCCCCGTGTCTCTCCCCATCTCTCCCCGTGTCTCTCCCCGTGTCTCCCAGTGTCTCTCCCCATCTCTCCCCGTGTCTCTCCCCATCTCTCCCCATGTCTCTCCCCATCTCTCCCCGTGCCTCTCCCCGTGTCTCTCCCCGTGTCTCCCCGTGTCTCTCCCCGTGTCTCCCCGTGTCTCTCCCCATCTCTCCCCGTGTCTCTCCACGTGTCTCTCCCCATCTCTCCCCGTGTCTCTCCCCATCTCTCCCCGTGTCTCTCCCCATCTCTCCCCGTGCCTCTCCCCGTGTCTCTCCCCATCTCTCCCCGTGTCTCTCCCCGTGTCTCCCAGTGTCTCTCCCCATCTCTCCCCGTGTCTCTCCCCATCTCTCCCCGTGTCTCTCCCCATCTCTCCCCGTGCCTCTCCCCGTGTCTCTCCCCGTGTCTCCCCGTGTCTCTCCCCATCTCTCCCCGTGTCTCTCCCCGTGTCTCTCCCCATCTCTCCCCGTGTCTCTCCCCATCTCTCCCCGTGCCTCTCCCCGTGTCTCTCCCCGTGTCTCCCCGTGTCTCTCCCCATCTCTCCCCGTGTCTCTCCCCGTGTCTCTCCCCATCTCTCCCTGTGTCTCTCCCCATCTCTCCCCGTGTCTCTCCCCATCTCTCCCCGTGCCTCTCCCCGTGTCTCTCCCCGTGTCTCCCTGTGTCTCTCCCCATCTCTCCCCGTGTCTCTCCCCGTGTCTCTCCCCATCTCTCCCCGTGTCTCTCCCCGTGTACCTGGAGGCCTATGACGCTCTGTCCGGCCTTCAGCATCTCCGGGTTGAACTCTCGCTCCTGGCGATCAGCATAACGGACTCCTACACAGCAGTGAGTGTCTACTCCCTTAGTCTTAGCCTGCCTCACGCAGACAAAGACACACAGACACACACACACAGACACACACACACAGACACACACACAGACGCACACACACAGACACACACACACAGACACACACACACAGACACACACACAGACGCACACACACAGACACACACACACAGACACACACACAGACACACATACACAGACACACACACAGACACACACACAGACACACACACACAGACGCACACACAGACACACACACAGAGAGACACACACAGACACACACAGACACATACACAGACAGTCACACAAAGCAAAGACACGCACACACAGACGCACACACACAGACACACACAGACACACACACAGACAGACACACAAAGCAAAGACACGCACACACAGACACACAAAGACACACTGAGACACACACACAGACACACAGAGACACACACACACAGACACACAAAGCAAAGACACGCACACACAGACGCACACAGATGCACACACACAGACACACAGACACACATACACAGATGCACACATAGACACAGCAGTGAGTGACCACTACCTCAGTCTTAACCTGCCTCACTCACTCACTCTCACCCATTCATCCCATCAACTCACCCAACGACCCTCTCACCCACCCACCCACTCACCCACCCACTTACCCACCCAGCCACTCATCCACCCACCCCACCAACTCACACACCCACCCAATCACCCACCCACTCACCCATCTCACCCACCCATCCACCCACTCACCCACTCACTCACTCACCCACCCACTCATTTACCCACCCAGCCACTCATCCACCCACCCCACCAACTCACACACCCACCCAATCACCCACCCACTCACCCATCTCACCCACCCATCCACCCACTCACCCACCCACTCACTCACCCACCCACTCACTCACTCACCCACCCACTCATTTACCCACCCAGCCACTCATCCACCCACCCCACCAACTCACACACCCACCCAATCACCCATCCCACCCACTCACCCATCCCACCCACCCACCCACTCACCCACCCAGCCACTCACCCACTGACCCACGAACTCACCCACTCTTTCACCCATCAACCCACCCACCCAGTCACCCACCCACCGACCCACTTACCCACCCACCCACTCACTCACCCACCCATCAACCCACCCACTCATCCACTCAACCACCCACCCACCCGTCCGCCCATCCGCCCACTCACTCACTCACCCACTCACTCACTCACCCACTCACTCACCCACCCACCCACCCACCCGCCCGCTCACTCACCCACCCACCCGCCCGCTCACCCACCCACCCGCCCGCCCACTCACCGTGTTTGCGAGTGCGAGCAGCGTGCTCTGCACCTGGGTCATGTTGCCACTCTCAAAGAGGTCGTTGGCTTCGAAGATGTCGTGAGGCCTCATGCCGTACTCCTGGATGGCGCGGATGAAGCTGCTCAAGTTCTCCAGCTGACGCACCCCACGGCCAGAATACACACACACAGGGTGTGTGTGTGGGTGAGTGAGAGGGTGGGTGGGTTGATGGGTGAGTGGGTTGATGGGTGAGTGGGTGGGTGAGTGGGTGGGTGAGAGGAAGGGTGGGTCAGAGGGTGAGTGAGTGGGTGGGTGGGTGAGAGGGTGGGTGAGAGGGTGGGTGGGTGAGTGAGTGGGTGGGTCGGTGAGTGGGTGGGTGGGTCGGTGAGAGGGTGGGTGGGTGAGTGGGTGAGTGAGTGGGTGAGAGGGTAGGTGAGTGGGTGGGTGAGAGGGTGGGTGGGTCGGCGAGTGGGTGGGTGGGAGGGTAGGTGGGTGAGAGGGTGGGTGAGTGAGAGGGTGGGTGGGTCGGTGAGTGGGTGGGTGGGTGAGAGGGTAGGTGGGTGAGAGGGTGGGTGGGTGAGTGGGTGAGTGTGGGTGGATGGATGGGTATGTGGGTGGGTGAGTGGGTAACATTGTTGAAATTGTTACCATCATGACCATCACCCTGATATCGTCAATATCACCATCACCATGACCATCACCACCACCAAGATCATCATCATCGTCGTCACCATCATTATCACCACCATCACCACCAAACAAGACAACTACAAAGATCCCCCGTGTAGCCTGTAACAGACTGTAGAGGCAAGTGCTGTTAGCGAGCACCTATGAAGGCCGGCACGGCACACGAGGGGGTGGGTGGCCGGCACCACGCCCGCCGCCTTTGTCTCCCCAGTGGCGAAGTTCGCTACACCACCACGGCTACACCAGCTACTCATTCGTGGCTGAGTTCACCCAGAACCGGTTCAGATAATCGTCACCGGCGGTGTTGGCCAGGGGCGGAGCCAGGATTTTCAGCCAAGGGGTGACATTTCAACAAATGTTAATTTCAAGAATGATTTAGAGAGTCAGGCTGCTGAGCCAGACGCCATCGGTTTCGATTTTTTATTTTTTCTCGGGGGTGACAATTGTCTACCCTGTCACCCCCCTGGCTCCACCCCTGGTGTCGGCCGTGAGCGGGAATCAAACCCGGGTCACAAGGTTCGTAGCGCAGCGTAGCGCTAGCCGCTACACTACCGCTCCCCACACACACACACCCACTCACTCACTGCTCACCCACCCACCCACACACCCATACACCCACTCACCCGCTCACACACCCATACACCCACTCACCCGCTCACCCACACACCCACTCACACACCCATACACCCATACACTCACACACCCAAACACCCACTCACACACCCATACACCCACTCACCCGCTCACCCACACACCCACTCACACACCCATACACCCACTCACCCGCCCACCCACACACACACCCATACCTAGACACACCCATACCTAGACACACCCATATACCCACTCACCTGCTCACCCACGCCCCCACTCACACACCCATACACCCACTCACCTGCTCACCCACACACCCACTCACACACCCATACACCCACTCACCCGCTCACCCACACACCCACTCACACACCCATACCTTCACACACCCATATACTCACTCACCCGCTCACGCACCCATACACTCACACACCCATACACCCACTCACCTGCTCACCCACACCCCCACTCACACACCCATACACCCACTCACACACTCATACACCCACTCACCCGCTTACCCACACACCCACTCACACACCCATACACCCACTCACCCGCTCACCCACTCACACACCCATACACCTACTCACCCGCTCACCCACACACCCACTCACACACCTATATACCCACTCACCCGGTCACCCATACACCCACTCACACACCCATACACCCACTCACCCACTCACCCACTCACCCACACACACACTCACACACCCATACACCCACTTACCCACTCACACCCACTCACACACCCATACACCCACTCACCCGCCCACCCACACACCCACTCACACACCCATACCTTCACACACCCATACACCCACTCACCCACTCACACACCCATACACTCACACACCCATACACTCACACACCCATACACACCCACTCACCCGCCCACCCACACACCCACTCACACACCCATACACCCATACACCCACTCACACACCCATACACCCACTCACCAGCTCACCCACACCCCCACTCACCCACACACCCACACACCCACTCACACACCCATACACCCACTCACCCGCTCACCCACACACCCACTCACACACCCATACACCCACTCACCCACTCACACACCCATACACTCACACACCCATACATCCACTCACCTGCTCACCCACACCCCCACTCACAGACCCATACACCCACTCACCCGCCACCCACACACCCATATACCCACGCACCCGCCCACCCACACCGCCACTCACACACCCATACCTTCAGACAGCCATACACCCACACACCCACTCACACACCCATACACCCACACACCCACTCACACACCCATACACCCACTCACCCACCCATACACCCACTCACCCGCTCACCCACACACCCACACACCCACACACCCACTCACACACCCATACACCCACTCACCCGCTCACCCACACACCCACTCACACACCCATACACCCACTCACCCACTCACACACCCATACACTCACACACCCATACATCCACTCACCTGCTCACCCACACCCCCACTCACAGACCCATACACCCACTCACCCGCCACCCACACACCCATATACCCACGCACCCGCCCACCCACACCACCACTCACACACCCATACCTTCAGACAGCCATACACCCACACACCCACTCACATACCCATACACCCACACACCCACTCACCCACCCATACACCCACTCACCCGCTCACCCACACACCCACACACCCACACACCCACTCACACACCCATACACCCACTCACGCGCTCACCCACACACCCACTCACACACCCATACACCCACTCACACACCCATACACTCACACACCCATACATCCACTCACTTGCTCACCCACACCCCCACTCACAGACCCATACACCCACGCACCCGCCCACCCACACCCCCACTCACACACCCACTCACCCGCTCACCCACACACCGACTCACACACCCAAACACCCACTCACACACCCATACACTCACACACCCATACACCCACGTACCCGCCCACCCACACCCCCACTCACACACCCATACACCCACACACCCACTCACACACCCATACACCCACTCACCCACCCATACACCCACTCACCTACCCATACACCCACTTACCCGCTCACACACACACCCACTCACACACCCACCGACCCACCAACCCACCCACCCACCCACCCCTCCCCTCCCCTCCCACCCCGCATGACCACCCAACCTGGTGCCAGTTGACTTTGGAGTGGTTCACTTTCTTCACAGAGCCCGGCTGCAGGCAGTTGATCAGCCTGTGGATGACACACGGAACGACTCAGTGACCCACCCACCCACTCACTCACTCGCCCAACCACCCACCGACCCACCCACCCATTCACCCACTGACCAACTCACCCACCCACCCACTCACTCGCCCAACCACCCACCCACCGACCCACCCACCCATTCACCCACTGACCAACCCACCCACCCACTCACTCGCCCAACCACCCACCCACCGACCCACCCACCCATTCACCCACTGACCAACTCACCCACCCACCCACTCACTCGCCCAACCACCCACCCACCCGCCCGTGGCAGAGAGAGCGAGTGAGTGGCTGAGTGAGTTGGTGAGTGAGCGAGGGTAGTGGCTGAGTGAGTCGCTGAGTGAGTGAGTAGCTGAGTGAGTGAGTCACTGAGTGAGTGAGTCGCTGAGTGAGTGAATGGCTGAGTGAGTGAGTGGCTGAGTGAGTGAATGGCTGAGTGAGTGAGTCGCTGAGTGAGTGAGTGGCTGAGTGAGTGAGTCGCTGAGTGAGTGAGTGGCTGAGTGAGTGAATGGCTGAGTGAGTGAGTGGCTGAGTGAGTGAATGGCTGAGTGAGTGAGTCGCTGAGTGAGTGAGTGGCTGAGTGAGTGAATAGCTGAGTTAGTGAGTCGCTGAGTGAGTGAATAGCTGAGTTAGTGAGTGGCTGAGTGAGTGAGTGGCTGAGTGAGTGAGTGGCTGAGTGAGTGAGTGAGTGGCTGAGTGAGTGAGTGGCTGATTGAGTGAGTAGCTGAGTGAGTGAGTAGCTAAGTGAGTGAGTCGCTGAGTGAGTGGCTGAGTGAGTGAGTGGCTGAGTGAGTGAGTAGCTAAGTGAGTGAGTCGCTGAGTCAGTGAGTAGCTGAGTGAGTAAGTGAGTAGCTGAGTGAGTGAGTCGCTGAGTGCGTGAGTGGCTGAGTGAGTGAGTGGCTGGGTGAGTGAGTGGCTGAGTGAGTGAGTGGCTGAGTGAGTGGCTGAGTGAGTAGCTGAGTGAGTGGCTGGCTGAGTGAGTGGCTGAGTGAGTGGCTGAGTGAGTGAGTGGCTGAGTGAGTGAGTGGTTGAGTGAGTGAGTGGCTGAGTGAGTGGCCGGGTGAGTGAGTAGCTGAGTGAGTGGCTGAGTGACTGGCTGAGTGAGTGAGTGGCTGAGTGAGTGAGTGGCTGAGTGAGTGGCTGAGTGAGTGGCTGAGTGAGTGAGTCGCTGAGTGAGTGAGTGGCTGAGTGAGTGAGTGAGTGGCTGAGTGAGTGAGTCGCTGAGTGAGTGAGTGAGTGACTGAGCGAGCGAGTAGCTGGGTGAGTGGCTGAGTGAGTTGTTGAGTGAGTTGGTGAGTGAGTTGGTGAGTGAGTTCGTGAGCGAGTGAGTCGGTGAGTGATTTGGGGAGTGAGTTGGTGAGTGAGCGAGTGGCTGAGTAAGTTGGTGAGTGAGTTGGTGAGTGAGCGAGTCAGGGGCTGAGTGAGTGGCTGAGTGAGTTGGTGAGTGAGCGAGTGGCTGAGTGAGTTGGTGAGTGAGTTCGTGAGCGAGTGAGTCGGTGAGTGATTTGGTGAGTGAGTTGGTGAGTGAGCGAGTGGCTGAGTGATTTGGTGAGTGAGTTCGTGAGCGAGTGAGTCGGTGAGTGAGTTGGTGAGTGAGCGAGTGGCTGAGTAAGTTGTTAAATGAGTTGGTGAGTGAGCGAGTCAGGGGCTGAGTGAGTGGCTGAGTGAGTTGGTGAGTGAGCGAGTGGCTGAGTTGGTGAGTGAGTTGGTGAGTGAGCGAGTGGCTGAGTAAGTTGGTGAGTGAGTTGGTGAGTGAGCGAGTCACTCACTCGCACAGCACCACACCGTCGCGAAGGCTCTGGTGGAAGGGTCCGTTGAGTTGTATTCCCGTGATTTCCTCTATCCAGTCACGGAGCTCCAACTCCTTCTGAACGTCGTATTTCTGGGCTATCTACGCTCAGAGAGACACACAGAGAGAGAGACAGATAGACACAGAGAGAGAGAGACACACAGACAGAGACAGAGAGACACAGACAGAGAGAGAGACACACACAGAGAGACAGAGCGAGACAGACACAGAGAGAGACACACACACAGAGAAAGACAGAGAGACAGAGAGAGACAGACACAGAGAGAAACAGAGAGAGAGAGACAGAGAGAGACACACAGAGAGACAGAGAGAGACAGAGAGACAGAGAGAGACACACATAGAGACAGAGAGATAGACACAGAGGGAGACAGAGCGAGAGACAGAGAGAGACAGACAGAGAGACAAAGAGAGACAGAGAGAGACAGAGAGAGACACACACAGAGACACAGAGAAAGACAGAGAGACAGAGAGAGACACACACAGAGAAACAGAGAGAGACAGACACAGAGAGAAACAGAGAGAGAGACAGAGAGAGACACACACAGAGAGAGACAGAGAGAGACACACACAGAGAGACAGAGAGAGATAGACACAGAGAGAGACAGAGCGAGAGACAGAGAGACAGAGGGACAGAGAGAGAGACACACACAGAGACACAGAGAAAGACAGAGAGAGACAGACACAGAGAGAGACAGAGACACACAGAGACACAGAGAAAGAAAGAGAGACAGACACACAGAGAGACAGTCACAGAGATACCCACAACAACACAACAACCGCCATTCACCACTAAGTGGCGGTGACGTCACCACGGCGCTTGTGCCAGGCTAGGTGCACGTTGAGACCACGTGAAGTCTCGAACGCCCGCTGGCAGGAGGTCACGGGGCAGACCCAGCAGGTGCCATTGGGTCGACTGACAGAGATTACCGGTAGATTCACCACCAGCTGTACGCCATACTGTGCCAGGCTAGGTGCAGGAGGTCTCGGGACAGACCCAGGAAGTGCCATGGGTTGGCTGCTGTGCCAGACTAGGTGCAGATGCATCACCACCTGTGCCCCCTACTGTGCCAGGCTAGGTGCACCACCTGTGCCCTCTACTGTGCCAACTCGACGCTTTATAGCCACCCGGCGCTCCGCTCGTTGTTGTGAGCGTCGCTCCTCTGCCCTCCGTTGTTGCTGGAGGGCGACTACCTCCAACTGCCCGATAACCTCAGAGTGCACCTAGCCTGGCACTAGCCCCAGTAGCAGCAGCGTCCTTCAAGAGCCTCCTCCTCCACAGAGGCCAATCTTGACACCGCTGGTACCGGTCATCGGCAAGTCCACTCAGCTCCACGTCCTCCTGTACCACATCACTCCATCTCTTCTCTAGCCTGTTCCACTCACTCCCTCACCGACACACCCACTCACTCACACACTCACTCGCTCACACAAACACACTCACACACACTCACCCACTCACTCACTCACCCACTCAATCACTCACCCACACACCCACTCAGTCTAGCATTCACTCACCCACTCACCCACACACCCACTCACTCACCCATCAATCCATCTGTTCTCCGGCCCGTGTAAGTCACCCATCCACTCACCCGTTTACCCACCCACTCAATCACTCACCCACCCACCCAATCACTCACTCACTCAATCACTCACTCACCCACTCACCCACTCACTCACCCACCCACTCACCCACCCACCCCCACCATCACCACCACCCACTCACCCCCACCACCACCGCCACCCCCCACCATGACTCTGAACATCAACAAACACCAGCAGGGCAGTCACCATCATCACCAACAGCGAGCAGCACCTTTCAAGGTCACGTAGGAGCGTTAGGAAGCCACGCGTGGGTGAGTGAGTGCGCGTGTGTATGTGTGTGTGCGTGTGTGTGCCTTTGTATGGTTACGTGTGTGTACGTGTGTGAGTGCGAGAGTGGGTGGGTGACTGGATGAGTGAGTGACTGGGTGAGTAAGTGACTGGGTGAGTGAGTGATTAGGTGAGCGGGTGAGTGAGCGAGTGAGTGGGTGGGTGATTGGGTGAGTGACTGGGTGAGTGTTAGGTGAGCAGGTGAGTGAGTGAGTGCGTGGGTGGGTGACTGGGTGAGTGACTGGGTGAGTGATTAGGTGAGCGGGTGAGTGAGTGCGTGGGTGACTGGGTGAGTGAGTGACTGGGTGAGTGATTAGGTGAGCGGGTGAGTGAGTGGCTGGATGAGTGATTAGGTGAGCGGGTGAGTGAGCGAGTGAGTGGGTGGGTGATTGGGTGAGTGACTGGGTGAGTGATTAGGTGAGCAGGTGAGTGAGCGAGTGCGTGGGTGGGTGACTGGGTGAGTGAGTGACTGGGTGAGTGATTAGGTGAGCGGGTGAGTGAGTGCGTGAGTGGGTGGGTGGCTGGATGAGTGATTAGGTGAGCGGGTGAGTGAGCGAGTGAGTGGGTGGGTGTTTGGGTGAGTGACTGGGTGAGTGATTAGGTGAGCAGGTGAGTGAGCGAGTGCGTGGGTGGGTGACTGGGTGAGTGAGCGACTGGGTGAGTGATTAGGTAAGCGGGTGAGTGAGTGTGTGAGTGGGTGGGTGGCTGAATGAGTGATTAGGTGAGCGGGTGATTGAGCGGGTGGGCGAGTGGGTGGGCGAGTGACTGTGTAGGTGAGTGTTGAGGTGAGCGGCTGAGCGAGTGTGTGGGCAGCGGTAGCGCCGTGGTTAGCGATGATCTCAACCGGTCATGGGCGTCCCCTAGGTCGACTCAGCCTCAAATGAGTCGCCTGGTGGAACGGTGGTGGTGGTAGTGAACATCGCTAGCACTGGGGGAGACAAAGGCGGCCGGGCGTGGTGCTGGCCACCCACCCCCTCTGTGTGTGCAGCAACTGTTGCCACTCGCTACTGAGGGCACTTGCCCTTAGAGCCTGTCAAGAGGCTATACGGGGGAGCTTTGCCTTTGTGATGTCTCCACTTCTCTCTCTCTGGAATTGACTAAAAAAGGTGAGAAATTGGAACAATTCTTCAACATTCCACCCCCTCCTCCCCCTCCTCCTCCTCCTCTCCTCCTCCTCCTCCACCCCCTCCTCCTCCTCCTCCGCCTCTCCTCCTCCTCCACCCCCTCCTCCTCCTCTCCTCCTCGAACTTCCTCCACCTCCCACCCACTCACTCCCTCACCCACCAACTCACCCACCCACCAACTCACCCACCCACTCTCCCACCCACCAACTCACACACCCACTCACTCTTCCACGCACTCATTGACCCACCCACCCACTCACCCACCCACTCACTCCCACCCACCCACTCACTCACCCACTCACCCACCCACTCACCAATTGACCCACCCACTCACCCACCCACTCACTCTCCCACCCACTCACTCACTCACCCACTCACCCACCCACTCACCCACTCACCCACCCACTCACCCACCCACTCACCCACCCACCCACTCTCCCACTCACTCTCCCACCCACCCATCCACTCACCCACCGACTCACCCACCCACCCACTCACCCACCCACTCTCCCACCCACTCACCCACCCACTCACCCACCCACTCTCCCACCCACTCACTCACCCACCCACCCACTCACTCTCCCACCCACTCACTCACCCACCCACCCACTCTCCCACCCACTCACCCACCCACTCTCCCACCCACTCACTCTCCCACCCACCCATCCACTCACCCACCCACTCACCCACCCACTCATTCACCCACCCACTCTCCCACCCACTCACTCACCAACCCACTCACCCACCCACTCATCCACTCACCCACCCACCCACTCACCGCCCCACTCTCCCACCTACCCACCCACTCTCCCACCCACCCACCCACCCTCCCACCCACTCACTCACTCACCCACTCACTCACCCACCCACTCACCCACTCACCCACTCACTCTCCCACCCACTCACCCACTCTCCCACCCACCCACCCACCCTCCCACCCACGCACTCACTCACTCACTCACCCACCCCCCCACTCTCCCACCCCCCCACTCTCCCACCCACCCACCCACCCCCCACTCTCCCCACCCACTCACTCACCCACTCTCCCACCCACCCACCCCCCCACTCTCCCACCCACCCACTCACCCCCCCACTCTCCCACCCACCCCCCCACTCTCCCACCCACCCCCCCACTCTCCCACCCACTCTCCCACCCCCCCACTCTCCCACCCACCCACCCACCCCCCCACTCTCCCACCCACCCACTCACCCCCCCACTCTCCCACCCACCCACCCCCCCACTCTCCCACCCACTCTCCCACCGCACCACTCTCCCACCCACCCAGCCCCCCACTCACCCACCCACTCACTCACCCACTCTCCCACCCACCCCCCCCCCCACCCACCCCCCCCCCCCACTCTCCACCCACCCCACCACTCTCCCACCCACTCTCCCACCCACCCACCCACCCCCCACTCTCCCACCCACTCACTCACCCACTCTCCCACCCACCCATCCCCCCACTCTCCCACCCACCCACTCACCCCCCCACTCTCCCACCCACCCACCCCCCCACTCTCCCACCCACTCTCCCACCCCCCCACTCTCCCACCCACCCACCCACCCCCCCACTCTCCCACCCACTCACTCACCCACTCTCCCACCCCCCCCACTCTCCCACCCACTCTCCCACCCCCCCCCACTCTCCCACCCACCCCCCCACTCTCCCACCCCCCACTCTCCCACCCCCCCACTCTCCCACCCCCCCCACTCTCCCACCTACCCACCCACTCACTCTCCCACCCACCCACCCTCCCACCCATTCACTCACTCACCCACTCACTCACTCACTCACCCACCCACTCACCCCCCCTACTCTCCCACCCACTCACTCACCCACTCACCCACCCACCCACTCACCCCCCCACTCTCCCACCCACTCTCCCACCCACTCACTCACCAACCCACTCACCCACCCACCCACTCATCCACTCACCCACCCACCCACTCACCCCCCCACTCTCCCACCTACCCACCCACCCACTCTCCCACCCACCCACCCACCCTCCCACCCACTCACTCACTCACCCACTCACTCACCCACCCACTCACCCACTCACTCACCACTCACTCACTCACCCACT